GCTGAAACCCAGAGCTCTTCTAGCTGCTAAAAAGAAAAACTATCTTTGTCCCATTCAAAACCAAGATAGTCTTCTACTTGAAATACTTATTTTTAGAAGTGTAAGGGATGGAGGATTGCTTCATTCTTGCCATTTTAGTGGTATTTCTTGCCATATTAGTGGTATACTGAAAAAGGGAAAGATGACCATATATATTTAAACATTAAGCATGTCTACTATTAAGTTATCCATTACAAAATTAGTTTTTAGTGACCATGACAATTAAATCACAATTTATTTCATTATCTGCAGGCTGAATTCTCTTGTGGGTTTTTTTTGTTGCAGTCATATAAAGCGTACAGTGGAGATTTCTGATCAGAATTGGACAGTCCCCTGCAGCTTAGTTGTAGAAAAACTGAGTGTAGCAGGATTTTCAAGGCAAGGAATGGGGGACGTTTATACCTACTGCATGCAGCTTGAAACGAAAGGGAAGATACTTTGCATAACGGATGGTTATTTCCAAGATTCAATTATGCTTCTTTGCCAGTAAATTATGGGTACTTTTGAGTTTATTTTGGGGATGAAAGGAAGATGGATTATGATTGTTTTATAAATTAAGAAACCAAGTCGATAATTGCTAAAGGAATCAAGTATTACATCTCAAGGAAAATAATAGTAGGGACATGTGCCAGTGTCTCAAAAACAATAGGAAAATCTCTGTGAACAGAGAAAGAGATGGAGAATGTATTCAATTGAGGAGGGAGAAAAATGATGGAAAACAAGAAATTATGAAAAGGATCAGTTTTATCTAAAGTATCTAATTTCATAGATGTTTAGGGTTATTACAGGGGACTAGTGTGAGCTAGGGGAGAAAGAGCGTGAAGGAAGCAGAGAAGAAAATCAGAAGCAGTGAAGAGAAGATCAATTAAAAAAAAAGTTAAAGAAAATATCTTCAGAACTTTGGAACTTATCTCATGGTTCTCTTGCCTCCAGCATTCTGCCCCCAATGACCTTGCTTGGGAGAGAAGTTTATTCTCTGAAATTTTCCCTTACCGTAGTGTTTCCTGTCCCTAGGTTGTGCAGTGGTTGGATATGTGGTGATAGATTATAGGTCTGAAAAGTGTGGGAAGTATTGGACTAGATTAATGATACTGCCAGCTATAGCAGAAATGGTTGTTTGAACAAGCATAGAGCAACATCGAAGCTCATTCAGTGCGATACTGTATTGATGCGACATCCCTTTTGGGAGAAGGTATTATGATGCAAGTATTGGACAGAGAGAGAGAATCAGAGGTGTGGGGTTTTGGTTTCTTTCCTTACAAAGCTATTCAATTACCTAGGTAGAGTGTTGGCTTTTTAAGAAAATAATTTAAAAGAATTGAAGAGTGAAATTAATTTCTGACTCCAGAAAAAAAGACGAGATAGCATGTTCAGCTTCAGTGTTCCAAAAAGGAAGCAATAAAGCCAAAACTAAAAAGCATTTTTGAAAAGAACCTTCTCTCTTTTACATTCAGTCAAAATGTTCGGTTTTCTGAAGTTGTTGCAACAGGGACTATCTAGGGACTGGAAAGAGATTTAGAGTGAAAAATCTATCCAGCAGCTGCCCAACAGTGACGTAGTGTCAGAACAAGCACTGGCTCATGTCATAATTCTCATCAGCCTCTGTCTCCTTATGAACACTTCACAGATATTTTGGATCCTGATGGAATTTAACAGCTTAGGGAGCAGGGAGTTTGTGTAATATATGTGTAATTGGTTGTTACTTGGCTTCACGTTAATCCTGTGAGGTGTAGAACTTTTGAACTTGTCTGGAATAGGTGATACTCTATAAAACCTGGCTCATAATCCTTTGCATAGTTTCATTGGAGATTGGTTTTGCCAAGGGAAGCATCTCCTGCAGTGACAGCAACTGGCTTGAAATGCCTACTGCTGCTCAGAGAGAGCGTCCGAACCTGGGAGGGCTCGCTGCTGGGGCTGGGAAGGGACACTCTGCCTGGACTGGGTGATGCAGAAAAGACTGCGTTAGAATCCTCATCTGTTCAGTCTGGAGGTGGATCTAGTCCTGATACTAACTCAAGGATAAGTAGGGAGAAATTAACGTTTTAAAATATAATTTCTCATGGCTACAAAACCCGACACTGACTAAAAGCATGGAAACTGTGTTGTTGGTAACTCAGCAGCATTCCCCACTGAACTCAATGGAGCTACTTGTTAGCTTGGAGTGGGCTGCAAACTTCAAGATCTAAGTATGTTGGTGTGTCTTTGGCTAACGATACTATTATCCTATATTTCTTCTTCCATATCTTTTATTTAAATTCAGTATAAATGAAGGTTGTGACGTTAAAGTGAGGTTGATGATGCAGGAACATGCATTTAGATGTAGTATGTTTTATTTTGACCTACTCCTTAGTGTGCATGAAGTGATGTCATTGAATTTAATGAGAAAACTTGATTTAATTGATAGTTAAAAAGCAAGAATTAATATGCTTAAGAGAATTGTCCTATACTGTTTTTAAATTGCTTTTTAATTTTTTAAATAAGTCTTTGTTTTCTTGGAGAAACGTAGGTCTCCAGACTGACATTGGGTTTATGTGCAAAACATAAAAAATTGCAATACAGGTAGAAATCTAAAAAAAATTATGTTTGAATACTTCCTCTAGACTCAAGCACATTGAACATAGTGTGTGTCACTGGGCTTTTGTTTTCCTTCATGGACTAAGTTTCAGATAGACAGTTGTATTATAATCTTGTCTGCCTGTAAAAAAAAGTTTGTTAAAATGTGAAAAGATTAAAAAATAAAAATTAAAATATAAACAGCTCTTAAGAACAGAATGAAACAATAGTTGTAGGTTGCCTGTGAGGAATTGTAAATGGTAATTACTCTTTATTCTATTGATTTCACATTACTTGAATTCATGTATTGATGTCTAGATTGAATTTCTCATAACAGTTTTTTCACTTTTTTCACATATGGCCTATGAGAAGTCATAGCATCTTGCTGGAGGTAACAATGTGCATCCATAGAACCACAGATAAAAATAAGTTAGAAAGGACCTCTGGAGGTGGACAAGTCCAGACTGCTGCTCAAAAAAAGGTCTGCCTTCAGTTCAGTTAGTTTCCTTGGGACCCTATGCAGCTGAGCTATGGAAGTATCTGAGAATGGAGGCTCTACAAACTCTCTTGGTAGCTTGTCCCTGCAATTAGATGTTCTCTTCATAAAATTATTTTTCCTTATGTCCAACTGAAAATTCCCCTTGTTGCAGCTAGTGACTGTTGCTTCTCATTCTTTGACAGTGCATCTCTTAGAAATTGGCTCAGTCTTCTCTAAAAGCCCTTTCTTCCTTTGGTTAGTTGAAGGCTTCGAGGAGGTTCCCTGCCCTAGCCTTCTCTTCAGGCTGAGCTAACTCGCCTCTCAGCCTCTCATGTGCTCCAGCCTGCCAACCACCTTGTCCTCTTCTTCAGCTGGACTTTCCCCATATGTCAATGTCTGTCTTGTACTGGGTGACCAAAACTGGACATGGTATCCAGGTGCAGTTTCTGAAGTACCACAGAGAGAAGGAATCACTTTCTTTGACCTGGTGCCTAACCTTTTGCTGCTGTAGCCCACGTGCACGCACAGCCTGCATAAAGGTGGGCTGCTAACTCATGTTCAGCTTCTTGTCTATCAGGATGCCCATGGCAGCAATTCAAATATACCGATTTATTTGTTCATTAGTTGATGAAATCTGCTTTTTTCTTAGCTGCCATTGGTTGAATAAAAAACAGTAGATATTCAGTCATTTAAAAAGCAATTTTGTATGACAGCTTTTACAGGACAACCCTGCTACACTGAAACTGTTCAGTCTGTAGTAGATTTGACATAAGTGTTAACCAGAGACAACAAAGTTGTTTAATTAGTGACATACTGTTAATTAAATATAACCTGCATGTCTGCTGAAAGATAAGCTGAACTATGGTCTTCATTCCACTGACTATATTGACTAGCTCTTTGTTTGCTATCTTCATTACAGAAGCTTAGACGTTTTACTTATATGTAAGCATACAAAATGAGGTGGTTTAATCTTGAACTATATCCCATAGTGAGTATCTGAGATGAGTGTACAGTTCTTCTGAAAGACATGGAGAAAGTGTCCTTGTCTAGGAGCATCCACGTACCTTCTTATGTTTGTGTCTTAATGAAGACATAAAAGGGTCTGTTACGCTGATGAAATTCAAGGTGGGAAGAGCAGCATGTGAGCTTGTTACTTGGATTTCCTGCCTTGCCTGGAAATTTTGTGTTGGTGGCTCAAAACTTAAGTTGCAACTTACTAAGTATATTTTTTATGCATTATATAGTACACGTATAAGGAAATCTCTCCAGCAAACTGCTTGCAGTAATGGTTGTAATGCCTATATCTTCACTCCAGAGTGATGACAAACCCAACAAGCTCGCTTGGCTGTAGTTCAGGCTCAAAGCACCTACGCTACGTTTAGGAAAAGTGATGCTTAGTGTGCCTGGCCCTATCTCTGACAGCAGAATGGAAAAGGGTGCAGGCATATGTTCTGATAGTTGTGGACTCAAGCTTCCCTGTGCTTGGGGGGAGCTGAGGCTGTCTGCTGAGCATCAGCTTGTGTGTCAACTATGTGCCTGGTAGGTTTGTCTGTGGTGGAGACTGACAGTGCAGACGTACCTAATAAAAATAGGAGAATTACCCTTGATTTCTGAACAATTCTGTTAAAAAAAAAATCGTGTTACTTATCTTGCCTGTGTATTTTCCTCTGGGCTCCGTAAGTTTCTCTAAATATTGATTTGTATTTCCACACCGATGCTGTTTTCCAACTAGGATAGGTGCTTTTCAGCAGTTGAACCTTTCTATTGGATGCATAAAACATTGTGATCTTCCAGGCTGTAAAATATTATTGTGGAGTAATCTTATTTATTAATAAAATTACCTAAATTTTGGAAATCAGATTTGAAAGGAGGAAGCAGAGTAGTTTATTCTTAGGTCATAAAATGTAATTAATTCTTCCTCTGATTCCAGGTGCTCCCATTGGAAAACAGAATGAAGGACACTACACGTTTCCCACTGGCACTGAACATCGGCATGGGAATAGTCATGACCTTGTATATCTCGCTGGCCACTCTCGGGTATCTGCGCTTTGGGGATGAAATCAAAGGCAGCATAACTTTAAACTTGCCACAAGACATATGGTAAGTGCATGTGTGACTTAAAACCAGTCATCTGGAAGGCAAAAACATTCCAAAGGTTGTTCCATGCTTCAATGCTGTCATGCTTATAACTGATGAACTCTCAAACTCTTTTAGAAGTATACTGTATATACTATCTCTATACCTTCTACACCTGAGCTGTGATCTTAGCCAGCAATTTCTTGCATATTAAAAGGAATTGCATATGAAAACAGATCAATGAGCTTTATAGTAAAGTATTCCATCTCTAGCAGGAGTTAGTTCCAGGTATATTGAAGGAGAGAATACGCGGTTTGCAACCAGCTATATTGCAGTTCTGAATCCAGCTAGTTTTACCTTGGATATCCTGGTAATACAGTGACCTTTTTTAGTGGAATCGCTGAGTTTAGCAGGTAAACAACTGGAACAGAAGACATCAAAGCTGAATGGATCTGTAGTTCAGATGCGAGTTCATGGGTAATGTATAATAATGGCTTCCTATCAGGAAAATGAAGCTCATGCTTGCCAGTGTCTCAGGGATATTATAGTTTTTATTTACCTTTTTTTTTGTTGCTACAAGAGCTCCACGTGTCATGTGCTGAAGAAGCGCTGAAAACTGTTTCAGCTGATGCATTGTTAGTTCTGTATCTATCTATGGATGGATGTATACTGTAACTATTAATTTAAATATAGCTCTTATTTTTTTTAGTATCTTTATGTTTGATAGGCCTAAAATAAGGTGTATCAGCAGTGCATAGGTGTAAAAGCTGAAGGATATTTTAATGTTTTCATTCTGATCAAGGACTGTCTTACGTGTTACATGCTTACATTTACTTGTTCAATGTCTGTTGTGGCAGCATACTGAAGTGGTGAAATCTCAAATTATGTGAAACAAAAACTGCTTTGCTGAACTGACTGCTGACTCCTTTTTTACTCTGTGAAAAAGAGCAGAACGCATAATGGAGTGTTCTTAATTTTCAAGTGTTACTTTTTCACTCTCTTTTTTTCCACTCTCATTCCTTGGAGTTGGTATGAGCTACGCATTTTTAATATTCTTCGAAAGTTTTGTTTAATTGCCTGACTGATTCCAATGATAAATATGTGAAATTATAGTAAAATGCATCTTGAAGGATGAAAGTTTTCTTTTGATCGCTAGATTTTTTCATGTATCTGTTGTTACTTTTTTGCTTGTTTTGTTTTTGTACTGCTATTAGAAAAACTGAGATTTGGCCTCAATTTTTTTTGCCTGTTTTGTGAGGGTTTTTTCCCTATTTTTTTCCTATAGTTCTGGTTTTTGATGCATATTGCTCACGATATATATTTAACTGTGTCCTTTCCTTGGACATATATTAAAACCCCTAGAAGTCTTCAAACATTACTGCATCCATTCTGTCTATATGATCCTATGCTACGAGGACAGGTTGCGGGAGCTGGGATTGTTCAACCTAGAAAAGAGAAGACTTCAGGGGGACCTAATAGCTGCCTTCCAATACCTGAAGGGAACCTACAGGAAGGCTGGGGAGGGACTTTTACAAGAGTGTCCACTGATAGGAAAAGGGGAAATGGGTTTAAGTTGAAGGAGAACAGATTTAGATTACATTTTAGGAAGAAATTCTTCAGTACAAGGGTGGTAAGACTTTGGAATGAATTGCCCAGAGAGGTTGTGGATGCCCCTTCCCTGGAGCTGTTCAAGGCCAAGTTGGACAGAGCCTTGAGCAGCCTGATCTAGTTGAGAGGCGTCTCTGCCCATGACAGGGAGGTTGGATTAGATGATCTCTAAGGTCCCTTCCAGCCTATGCCATTCTATGATTCTATGATACATCCGAAAGGGAAAATACTTCTGTTTATAATATTACATGGTATTGCTCATTGTTGGTGTAATTAGTGAAAAGTTTGTTTTAAATGGTAGATCTGGGTTTATTTCTGCCTTAAGAGAAGTGCTCTTAAAAGAGAAGGAGGGAGAGGAATGTGGAATATAAGGTAAAGTTGCTCGCTCACTCTGTTGCTTTTTATTGCATTCATGCAAGCAACAGGATGGACTTTATTTTACTGTAATGTTCTGCTTTATTCTGCAGCCCTGCTGTCTAACAGAGCTGTTCAAAAAAGAGTTTTCAAATAGCTCTTGGCTACAGTGCAGATGTGATGATGTCGTGGTTTAGCCCAGCTGGCAACTAAGTACCACGCAGCCACTCACTCACTCCACCTCGAGTGGGATGGAGAGGAGAAAGTGGAACTTGAGGGTCGAGACAAGGACAGGGATGGATCGCTCACCAATTATGGTCGCAGGCAAAGCAGACTCGACTCTTTGTATCAGAGAGGATAATGAGAAACAAAGCCAGATCTTAGAAACGCTTTTCCCCACCCCTCCCTTCTTCTCGGCTGTACCTCCTCCTCCAGCGGCACAGGGGGACAGGGAATGGGGGTTGCAGGTTGGTCTATCACATGTTGTTCTTGCCGCTCCTTCCTCTTCAGAGGGAGGACTCCTCACACTCTTCACCTGCTCCAGCGTGGGGTCTCTTCCCATGGGAGACAGTCCTCTATGAACTTCTCCAACATGAGCCCTTCCCATGGGCTGCAATCCTTCACGAACTGCTCCAACATGGGTCCCTCCCGTGTAGTGCAGTCCTTCACCAACAGACTGCTCCAGCGCGGGCTTCCCACAGAGCCATGGCCTTCTTTGGGTGCAGCCACCTGCTCTGGCGTGGGGTCCTCCATGGGCTGTGGGTGGGTCTCTGCTCCACCGTTAATCTCCACGGGCAGCAGGGGGGCAGCTGCCGTCTCACCACGGGCTGCAGGGGAATTTTGGCTCCGGCACACCTCCTCCTGCTCCATATTCGCTGACCTTGTGTCTGCATAGCTGTTCCTCTCACATCCCCCTCCTCTCTCTGCTGCAGCTGTACTGCACCTGACCGGCCTGACGAACTCTGGCAGCCCTGGCAGGGTGCACTCTGCCCAGCAGGCACTCTGGGAGCAGGCGCTTTGGAGCGCTCCAAGCCGTGGCTGCTGGCTTGTGTGGGCCCCCCAAGGCCGTGGCTGCTGCCCCCCCTTCTAGGTGATGGGGGGTGGAGGGTGGCCCAGTGCAGACAGCCACCCTGCCTTCTCCCTCTCTCCACTGCAGGTCCCACATGACGCAGGTTTCTTTGTCCCTTTGTAAATATGTTTTTCACAGAGGCATTGACTGGCTCCGCCCCTGGGTCTGACTTGGAGCCGAGGAAGCCTCTAGCAACTTCTCACAGGAGCCATCCCTGTGGCCCCTCTCCCTCTTACCAAAGCGCTGCCACACAAACCCAACACGGATGATAAGATGGTATTTATGCTGATGGCTCTACAGAACTCATACAAAGAAAGAGATAATAAAGGAGATGGAAACTGGTGTTCTGTAAGGTAGAGAATTGGCATTATGAGTTTAATAACCTCAGAGCTGCTCAGGGCACATATGTAGAGATAACAAAGTCATCTGTTTTCATCTTACCCTGGATAGTACCCCAGAGCACCAAACAAAATTAGGAGAAGCAGCTCAGTGGTGCGCCCACTGGGTTGTGATATATGATGCTGATGCTGTGCAGTACTGTGGATCTACCTGATATGGTACTGATGAGCAAATGTGTGCAATTAACTGTGCCAGCAAAACAAATGTCCAGTGAACCTTATGACAGTATTTTGTTATTTAGTCCTCACATAAAAAGCCGGTAAGTGACTGGATTGAACTAGAGAAACGCAAGGTGTGGGTGAGTTTTTATAAGAAAGAGGTCATGTGAAAGATCCTGGAATATAGCTAAGCAGTAGGACTTGGCTTATGTATTTAATTCCAGCTGGATGATCTCTGTCTTAAAAATAAGCCTTTCTTGATAAAGAAAATTAAAATTCTGCTGCTCTCTTGAGTTTTATTTGATGTTCTCACAGATGAATTGAAGAGAAGGCATAACAGGCCCTACACCAGTCAAGTCCTTAAGTGAATTTAAATAGAGGACTGCTCATATTCCAAAAACATTCTGCTAGATTGGCACTTTTGGAGAAGACTTGTTGTGGTTCTAGTTATAGATTGTGTTTTGGAGTACAAATTGTCGCTCAGCATAACATATTAATTAGAATTTGTTGAAAATTGACTTTCAAAGAATCCTAGAATGGTTTGTGTTGGAAGGAACCTTAAAAGTCCTCCAGTTCCAACCCCCCTGCCATGGGCAGGGACACCTTCCACTAGATCAGACTTTATGAAAAGAGAGTAGTTTTCAGCTTGGTTTTGCCAATCTTTAAGAACAACTTCTTTCTGGAATCAAAGAATTCTGTTTTAGTGCATTAAACAATTTTTATTTTTTTTTTACACGTAGTTACGTTTAGCTGTTTGTAGTATCTTAGTAATTGTTTTTCGTATCCTCAGAAGTATACAGAGTACCTGGTGACACAAGTCTTTTTATTCTGTTCATTGCTGATTGAGGAGAGGACACACAGGCACAGAGTATAGTTTACCTTTTTTATTCATGATCACGAGGTGCCTCCTGACCCAAGCCGAGGAGGTGCACCGTTTGCCTAAATCAGCACATATTTATAGTCAAAAAGTGCATAATTTGTGCATGTCACTGTGCATATTCAGTGACATGACCATCAGTTCGAATGGAGTCCTGCGACATCTGAGATACAGATTATTTCATAGATTTCATAGATTTCATAGATTTCTAGGTTGGAAAAGACCTTAGAGATCATCCAGTCCAACCATCCCTAATCCCCATTAAACCATATTCTCAAGTAGATCATCCACCCTATTCTTAAACACATCCAGGGATGGGGACTCAACCACCTCCCTGGGCAGCCTATTCCAGTGGCTGACAACCCTTTCAGAGAAGAAATACTTCCTAACATCCAACCTGAATCTCCCCTGACTAAGCTTATGCCCATTTCCTCTTGTTCTATCACCCATCACTAATGTAAAGAGCCCTTCCCCCACCTCCCCACCATCTTTTCTCAAGTATTTATAGGCCGTAATCAGGTCTCCCCTCAGCCTCCTCTTCTCCAGGCTAAACAGCCCCAACT